TATAGGGTTTTGTCAATTATATTGTTCGTCTGCTCGTTGTATCATGCAAGCTCTTGCAATTTCTGTAGTCGTGCCTGGAGCGGGTTTGTTGAGCATACTCACTAGCGTATCGGCCAACCATGCTTCGAGGATCTTTTTCACAGCTGGGGGCGTTCCTTCTTCTGCGGACGTGGAGGCCCCTTTTCAATTGGGTTTTGTTATGATACAACAGGGGGAGGCGACTTCTCACACCTAGAGGAATCGATGGGCGTCACATCCTCGCCTATTATTTTACATCTCTCGTTGATAGTGTTCATGAGGTTGCTAGGGAAATCGCCTATTACTTTTGTCCTTTCTCCTTGTTTACCTGCCACGTAGGTTTTTGTACGTGCAATGAAAGAAGAAGATCAGGGTGTTTGTGAGGTTAGTGACTTGCATTAGCTGTAGATCTAAATGAAATTAAAAAATTAACTAAGAAATTCCCACAGACGGCGCAAAATTTGACCAAAAATATAGATTTTAGTTTAACTAATTAAATTTATGCAAATAAGGGTTAATCTTTGTTATATCCCATACTTTAATATTAGGATGAGTCGTAGCCATCCATATGAGCTTGAAAGGATTAAGACCATTCATGAGATTATAGAGAATTTGTGACTATGTTGTTGTAAGACCCAGTAAGTTTAACAATCTTGATACCGTTATGTACATTTGATATGGTATTTTGAGTGAAATATTTTTGTAAAAAGAGTTTGAAAAATATGATTTTATATAGTTATTAATATTACTACTTTCGAACATGCTTTAAATTATACCCATAATATGAGAAAGTTTATGAGATTTTCTTTATTGTAAAGATAAAAATTATTTTTTCACAAGAAAAGAAGGTTATCTTTTTACCATTTTAAGAATTAAGCATACAAAAATTTGTATCTTTATATGAGATTAGAAAAATTAGAAATTGAGAAAATATATTTTTACATGGATGTTTTAATGAAATAATAGAGTACGCATTGATTTTATATGGTACCATAATTTTTTAATATTTTAATAGTAGTACTTTAGGATGAGAACAAGACTATTTTCAAGGTTATAAGTATTTATGATATGTCAAACAAGTGATAAGTAAGTGCTATAAAGGTTAGAGAGTAAACGAATTGAAGAAATTGAGTATTCGCCGAAGTTTGACTATTTGAGATAAAATACGGTCCAAGCTATAATATCTGGTATTTGTGGACTAGTGCCATACAAGGTACCACATGACCATGATAGTAAGGTGTATAAAGTATGTTAGAAGTGAATAGTATTTTAAATAATTTGAGATAATTTTTAATTAGTGGATAGTTGGGTAATTATGAATTTTTAGTGGGAGATTAACTAAGTAATTAAGCTAATTAAGAAAATTGCATAAGCCTAAAGGGTTCCCAACGTGGCAGCCAAGGAAAGCCCAATAAATGACTCTTAAGTCATAGAGTAAGATGTTACATTTAAGAAATTTTGGTGGCTTAGTCATCAAATAAGTAGGCCCCACACCCACTAAGATTAAAAACCTTTCAAAATCACTTAAGAGAGATGCTTGTATCTCTACAAGATAATGAAGGGAAACTTCATCAAATTCATACGAAGATGATATTATGTAATAGCAGCGTGAGATACAATTTTACGAGAGCACGGTACAATCTTTCTCAAGAATATCATACCGATTTTTCCCTACTTTGATCCATCGTTACGTGTTTTTCACAAAGACGTGCATTAGAGGAATTTTCAAGAGAATCGACCCAGGTATATTAAGGCAATCCCTCCTTTTATTTTGGCATGATCCAAGTAACGAAACGTAAAAAAGTAATCTGGCTCTTGCGCTTGAAGGAAGACAGTGATTAGCTTGTGGTCATCCATGGGTGGCTTAACTCTAGTTGCTTGCTCTCTCCATTTAGTGGCATATTCCCTGAAACTTTCAGTTGGTTTCTTCTTTATGTTTGAAAGGGAATTGCGGTCTGGGGCGATGTCGATGTTGTATTGGAACTATTTGACAAAGGCATGTGCCATGTCGACATGCCAGCGAGATGTGTCTTGATCCAAAAACCATTCAGATGATACTCCCGTAAGGCTTTCTCCAAAATAAGCTATTAGAAATTCTTCATTTCTTCTAGCACCTCTTAGTTGATTGCAATACTTTTTCAGGTGGGCTATGGGGTCTCTATGTCCATCATACTTTTCAAATTTGGGAGTCTTGAAGCCAGGCGGCAAATGGACATCGGGGAACATACATAGATCTTTGAAGGCAACACTCTTTTGACCTGCCAACCCTTGCATATTTTCAACCGTTGTTCTAAGCTTTTCACTCTTTGGATTATTTCTTCATGTACCATCTTTTGAGCAGGCTTCTTAATGTTTGCAGGAAGATCAAATGAGTACGAGTGGTACCCAGGAGAGTGGTACTGCTCTTGCGATGTAGCAAATTGTGACTCATGACGAGGCTGTCCTTGACCACTGGCTCATGCTTGACACATTTCGGTCATTTGCTGTTTCAGTATTCTATTTTTCTCAAACACAGTAGACTCTTGTTGAATCCTCTGGCCCTGAGTCTCTTGAGCACTTGTAACAGCTTCGATGTCGGTTATCATTTTTCCTTGGATCTTGTGTTTCCAATTTACCACAAACCGACCACCTCAACTTTTTTCACAATTCAAAACAAAACATGTTAGAATGGACTCAGTTGGTCCTTATTATTATCAATATTTTTTCATTTCTTTTTAATGGTGATCGAACCTGATGTAGGTTGCCTACGTATCATGTAGAAACATGAATCAGATCTTGCGTAGTTCGGGAAGATCATAAATAAAGTAAATAAACTAACTTTTTTGAATTTTTTATTTTATTTTTTCGAAAAAAAAAAACTTATAAAGAAGAAAGGGAATATTTTTGGATTTTGATTTTTCTTCAGCATTTTTGCAAAGAAAGACTTCTAAAGAAGAAAGAAAATATTTTTGGAATTTTATTTTGAATTTATAAAAGAAATGCTTCTAAAAAAAGAAAATATTTTTGAATTTTCTTTTCATTTTGAAAGAAGAATGAAAATATTTTTGGATTTTTGGAAGAAATTAAAAGAAATTATTTTTGTATATTTTAAAAAAACAATTAGGGTCTAAAAGAAAGGCTTTCTAAAGAAGCAAGTAATGGAAAATATTTTTGGATTTTTTGAAAATTGGGGTCTCAAAAAAAAGACTTTTCTAGAGAGGAAGTAAAAGAAAATATTTTTGAATTTTTTGAAAATTATGGGTCGGAACCGATGAGATTTGCCTACGTATCTTACATACGATGAGAATCAGGCCCACGTAGTTCGCCTTTTTTGATGGTACAAGGAAACATGACTTTTGAAAACATTGGCTTTTTTTATTTTTCAAAATTTCGCCAGAGTTTTAGGATATTTCAAATACCTACTTCTCACTCTCTTTTCCTTTTTTCTTCTTTCTATTTTTTTTGATTTTCTTTCTTTTTTTTTTCCTTCCCTATTCTAGAAGTCAGTCAACATACAAGCCGAAACAGATAAATACGCAAGTAGCACGTAAAATGCATCAGGATGGTCTTTAAATTTCGGTTGCACTTATCCTAGACTGACCCAACCCCAGTATTGAGTCCCCAAAGTCAAATGCACATGATCCAAACAAGCGTTCCTACTAGGGATCCGGCATGAGGCTGAGTTATTCTAAACTAAAAATCTGGGTATATTGTTCTAGACTTGTGTACCCGAGCGGACAACTCGAGCCGAGGAGGGAGCTACGTACCGGGAACCAAAAGGTCATCCGGCTTTGTAACTTGTCCGAGCCTCTTTCTTATTTCAAGGTATGACACTAACAGAAGGAGGAGTCATGTCAGCGTGCATATCCCCGAAGATGAGAAGAGAAGGGTTTCGTAACAGTTTATATACAGTTCAAATAATATCAAAGCAGTAAAAAGCGGCATTTAGCACATTAGGCTCAAACATGCAATAAAATCAGATAATAAATAAAGCCAAATATAACAATTATTCTAAGCTCAAATTCTTGAACCATAAACCAGAAGTTCTGGGTTCTCATCCCCAACAGAGCCACCAGAGCTGTCACAACTCCTTTTTACATACACTCTGGAAGGGTGTAAGGAGGAGTTTTTTCAATTAAAGTGACATCATTTCAAATGAGATTATTTATTTATCAGAGTCGCCACTTGGGATAGTTTATTTGGTGTCCCAAGTCACCGGTTTATTTTAAAATCTCAAATCGAGGAAATTTCGACTTTCCTTTTGAAGTTTGCAAACCAGAAATTCTGAATAAGGAATTCTGTTAACCCGAGGGAATGTGTTAGGCACCCCCGGATTCCGCGGTTCTAGCACGGTCACTTAAACTATCATAATTGGCCTATTATCTGATTTTAATACATGTTTTAACCTACTGTTCAATTTTAACTTTATAACCGCTTTTATTTAATTATTGGGAAAGATTCAACGTCATCTAAAACACGTCATGAACCACGTCACATAAATGCAACCGTGGTCCACGACACATTTTGTCTAACGTTGTTGAGATTTAGATTTGGGTCACATAAATTCACACCCGAGTTTAGGAAAATAATTTTTAAACAGCGCGTCTAAAGCAAACTACAAAAGTTCAAGGCATTTTCTATACTAATTTAATATTAATGTGAGGGCCAAATATTTAAGTGATTCAATTGTGAATGGCATTCCTCAATTTATTTCAAATGATTTTTCCACCTAAAGCAAACTACGGATATTCATATTTAAAACTAATTTGAAATTAGGTATCATAACTACGCCACGGGAATCGTACCCGTAGTTATAATGATATAATTACGAATACCATCATAAACTAACCTTTCTTTCTAACGAACCACTCACCATTCAAGAGATCAACTTTGATCAACCAATAATTAATTTTTAGTCATAAACTTCTTCAAGTTAATTAAGTGATTCTTTTGTATATATTCCATACAATCATGCCAAATCAAATAATTCAAGAAACCCACTGTCAATACACAAAAATAATATATTTTTTTGGTATCAGAATACAAGGAAACATCAACATTAACAATTTACATCGTCCAAAACCTAAAAGAAATTCAATTGAAGCTCATGTTAAAAGAAGAAGACCATAACAATACTCTATCACGCCATTTCATTCCAGTAACAAATATAAAATTTCAGCACCTATTTGCAAGTACTCCAAACTTTAGATGCTTGAAATAAAATGTCTTCCTTCAAGCGAGCAAATGAAAATATAGGACTTCAACGGACGTGTTTTTCACTTGAGACAATGAACATAAAACCGCACAAATCAACAAATATACTAGCAAGGAGATACGCTGAATAGAGGAAAATGCCAACCCAAAAAAGCACACCTACTGAAGCACAATCATAAAGATAGAGAAAGAAAGACAGAGGTAGCACATCATTTTACTTCCAAATTTTAAAAAAAAATCAACAATAAAATAATTTCTCCTGGATTCTAGTTACAACACAAAATCATAAAATTTATTAAGTCTCATCAACAGAATTCAAAGAAGGCATTTCAATTTCCTCATTAAAATAAGCTACATCATCACAAACTCAAATACATTAAGGGATTACCGAAGTAGTAAACGGATTACCTCAAAAAGGACAAGGATGAGAAATTTGGACCAAATAAAGGCTAGAAAAATGAAAGATGGAGCGCAGCAACTTATCACGACAGAAAGAGCAAAATCGCAGTCCATTTCGGGTGACTTGCGAAGATCAATAGCAGCTATGGCCTTCTACATATAAGGCAATAAAAGTAGCTATTTGTTTAAAAATCAGCTGTTGTAACAGTCGAAGCAAAAGCAGAGAAAAGAAGAGTATGGTCCCTTTCACGGGGAGCCGATTGTCTTTCTTCTAAAAATAACCCTGGAGATTTTTGTCTTCTTTGGGATATGTGGCTGTAGATTGGTGAATTTTTGTTAAGAAAAAGCCATGGCCATAGTTGCTTTCTTTAGAGAAGCAGCAGATGATTCCATCCGAGGGTGGGTCCTTTTTGTTGAAAACGGCGGAATGGGTTATTTTTCTAGAGGGTGGGTCCTTTTTGTTGAAAACGGCGGAATGGGTTATTTTTAGGTCTCTCAATTTAGGCATTAGATACTATTACATTTGGGTAGGGATTTTTTTTTTTTTTTCCCTCCCAAGTTAGG